AGTATCGTTAGTCACAAAGGAAGGGTAGGTTGAAATAGCCTAACCCCAAAACTACACGTGCCTGTGTAGGAGTGAATTATGATTATTCCCCTTAGTTGGGATGATATTCCCCTTTATTGGGATTAGATGATTGCTAGAAAAGGGTGATGTCGATCCACACGGCATTGTGGTGAGACGTCCTAGGCGGTTGGATCGTGATCGGACGCCATGCCGCACACATGGTGGTGATTGTGCTTGCAACTGTGATTGAGATAATGATTGAAATCGTGATAGTGATTGTGATTATGGTTGATGTCTTTGGTGAGACGACCTAGCCAATCGGGCTGTGTTCGGACTCTGTGCTAATATCACGGTGGTATATCAGTGCTAAGATCTCCCAACCTAAAATAATGGAAATTTACTTGAAAACTACTCTTGCTCCTAACTTGATGTTTTAGTATTGTTTGAGGCTTCCATTGATTTTATGACTGTTCTTCCTTGTATTGTTATCTGTTCTAATGAGAGGGTGTTCAGTCATACATACTAGTACTATTCCATATGTACTAACGTCCCTTTTTGCCCGGGGCGCTGCATCTTTAATAGATGTAGGTCGTTCCACAGCAGGCGGCGTTGGTCAGTGATAGCAGTACACCCTCTTCCCAACTGACTTGGTGAGCCCCACTTCATTTCGGAGTCGTATATCTTTTGTCCCATGTGTATTATGTTTTGAGGTATAGTCGAGGCCTTGTTGCCGGCACTATCATAGTACTCTTTTGTATCCATTAAAGGCTCCATAGACATAGTGTGGGTTGTATGTTGGTGATGGGAAGGTCAAACTAGTAATGTTATATTTGTAACACTTGTTCCACTTCAAACTATGAAAGTGTATGTATTTTGAAACTTATAAACGATGTAACTAATGATAATGAATTGGTGCTGTTCATGACCCTCCTCGTTGTCTAATTGATGAAATAGATCTCCTTTTTATTCATGAGTGAGTTTGGGTAGAAGGTATTGTACAAGCTTTCTCGGTCGGATTATCTCAGTTGAGCGCCGGTCGCGCTCCTTGAGGTCGGGGCGTGACATTCACAGATTCAAAACAATAGTGGAAAGTGATCAAAGATCGATGATGACAACAATATTGAGTGAAATCAGAAAGAAACATGGGGAAAAATGAATGAAACTTTTACTTGAGTGAAGAGCAATTTATCGTTGAAGGAAAACCTATAGGACAAATCCCAAAAACCTAGAGGTCACTACGTTTGACCTCTAGGTACAATATATTCACGATGAAGCTCTGAAATGTGCACGTGCATGCTCCCATTTGAAAGAACGAGTGAAAAAAGACAGATGAAATGAAGTTTCATCATTTAGGTCTAGAGTTCCAAATTGTGGGTTTTGAAGTTAATCAACGAAAACTGAAACTGAACTCACTGCTCCATCACCTAGCGACAAAGGAGACAAATCTGTAAGTTTGATTTGAAAGAACAAAATAATGGGGTTTCAACCTTACTGGCCGCGTCTAATCTCTCAAATTTGAAGAGCAAAAAGGGAAAATTAGCAGGATTCGGAGATGGAGAGGCAGGGAAGGACGATTTAGTGAAGGTCTTGTGACCTTGCACTGATTCGTGCAAGGTTTTCATGACTGATGGGCATGAAGGGATGAGAGAAAAGAGAGAGTTTAGGGAAATGAGGGCGTCTGAGACTTTGAGAAATGATTAGGGTTATGGGGGGAATAGGATCAGTCTCTAGGTTAAATGTTGGGAGATAGAACCCAGACCGTTGATCTTTGAGATTAACGGTCCTGATAATTTGGTTATTAAGGATCTTTAGGGCAGAATTTTGGTGGCTATTGGTTTAAGAGATTTTGGACGGTGGGGATGAGATCTCTGGGGGCGGGTATTAAAATAAAAAGAAGAATTGGAGAATAAACGTGAGCCATTGATCAGATGGAATAACGACTCACATGCGAGTGTGTTTGTTCTGTGAGTGGTGAGGGAGTGTGATGTGGCATGCGATGATTGGTGCACAAGAGATGGCACGGATCGTCACAGTAGAAAGAGAGGAGTGTTTGGACTAGGTATGTTTCGGATTGGTCCTACTAATTGGGCTAAAATAAATTTAAGAAATGGGCTTTTTAAATTTGATTAAGAATTGCAACTGTAGCCCTTTTGTTTTTTAATCCCCATTTGAATTTAATTTAAATAAACTTAATAATTTTTAATAAATATGGTAAAATTATAATTATTATATAAACTACTAATTATTTTAATTATTTATTTATAAAAATACTTTATTTTTCTAAATGGTAATACTAAGTTCGAAATACCAACATAGTAATCTAATTTACTAGAATTTAAAGAGTAATTCATTTAAATAATTATAGAACCTATGTAATGTATATATAAGAGTTATTTTAATAATCTTAAAATAGTAAATATATTTGTAATTACTTAATATTAATACTATGTGATTAGTTTTAAAAACTAATAAATTAAGTATTTATTACTAGAAAACACTTTAAAATATTTATTGTAAATTATTAAAATAAATAAATTAATTTAAAAAGGGAGGGTCAAAATTGGCCGTCAATAACTTTCCCTCTTTGACCGGAGATGATGAAAGAGTTTTCGGGCAAAGAAATTAAACCAAAGTCAATTTTGTCCCGACTTCAGGCATGTATTGTAGGAATGAGGATTGTGAATTGCAGGTTTGAGTTAAGGAAGAATCTAGGATGATTTTGGGAATATTGGGGTCAAATTCTAGCTTTGAATTGCTTACATACCTCGGGCTTAACGAAGATCAGGCCTCATATAGTTTTGGAGTGAAGATTTAGAGGAAGCGGCACTTGTAGGAATTGACCTAGTATCGTATTACGACGATACGGAGGATTGGACACTCATGATAGCTTGAAATTTGCAGCTTGATTTGAAAGATTTAAAAATTTTGAGTTTCACTGATCATCTTGAACTTGGATCTTTGGCCCGCTAATGGGTTGGTTGTCCCTCAAAGCGTTGTAGTTTGGTCTACTGCTAAGAAAGGTTCTACGTTGCGATGTTTGTTCCTGCAAAACAAATGAAATATATGCATACAATATATTGCAATGTAGAATATATTAAGATGCGATGTAAATGATGCATGAATGATGATGTCTGGCTGCCGGCGAGCTATTATTTGGGATCAGGATGATATGATACTTGATCTTGACTCGATTTGTTAGCCGGGCTGTGTACCGTTCCGCATCTGTCGGAGTATTTGAAAATTGTCTCCGCCTGTTGGGAGAGCTTGATTGGTAAAGTGCGTCTTCGCTTGTTGGGAGAGATTTGAACTGAGAAGTGTCTTCGCTTGTTGGGAGAGCTTGATTTGTAGTGTGTGTCTCCGCTCGTTGGGAGAGTTTTGCACTGAAATGTAAAGTAATCTCCTCTTTGGAGTGATTGACTAAACCGTAATCATGCCTGAAGCTACATGAGCAAAACGTTAAAACATTCAAAGTAATAGTAAATGAAATAAAAGCATGCCCAAGAGATACTCTTGACTGTGAAGCTAAGTTGCGGCCATCGATTGGCAGAACATCGGTGACGAGGTTTGCGACCGTCTATTCTGGCATCCGTTGCGATGGATCTACGATGCGAATTGCTTTGTTGGCAAAGTTTTGTAGTTTGCTATATACAAGGCTCCGATTGGCGAAGCCAACATTCAATTTGTGCAGGGTGCTCTGATTGATTGAGCTAATGGTTTGCTATATACAGGATTTCAATTGGCGAAGCCGACGTTCAATTTGTACAGAGCGCTTCAATTGTTTGAGCGGGCGATTTGATATATATAGGACTTCAATTTGTGAAGTCGACGACTCATTTTGTACAGTGTGCTCCGATTGGTTGAGCAGGCGGTTTGCTATGTAGAGGTTTTTTCGTATCAGCTGTCTGATTCCGAGGTACCTGCAAAGGATTCAAAGGTTAGCCTTGGTTGTACCAGAACATAGGGAGTCATCTTGAAAGTCGTTCTGTTACAATAAAAACCTAACTCTATTTGTCTTCAAACATAGTATCTTTTAATTACGTCTGTGTTGATGGGATTCGTCTTGACTCTCCCATCCATTTCTTCCAAGATAAAGCTCCACCCGACAGTGCTCGGTGAACTACGTAAGGACGTTGCCAGTTTTGTATGAACTTTACTTTGGCTTCTTCTTGGTGGGGAAAGATTTTCTTCAAAACCAACTGCCTCGGTGCGAACTGGCGAGGTTTCACTCTTTTGTTAAATGCACTGGGGATCCTGTTCTGATATAGCTGACCATGACATACTGCATCCATTCTTTTCTCGTCAATGAACATGAGTTGTTCTTGCCTAACCCGTATCCACTCTGCGTCATCCAACGTTTCCTCTTGAATAACCCTTAAAGACGGTATTTCGACCTTTGCAAATATCACAACTTCAGAGCCGTATACCAACATGCATGATATTTCCCTAGTGGGTATTCTCATGGTAGTCCGATAACCCAGTAAAGCGAAAGGTAGCTTCTAGTGCCATTGTCTGTGGTTGTCCACTATCTTCCGTAAAATTCTCTTGATATTCTTGTTGGCTGGCTCGACTACCCCATTCATTTGTGGTTTGTAGGCTATGGAATTACGGTGGAGGATTCTGAGCTTCATAAAAATTTCTCTCATGAGGTCGCTTTTGAGATTAGCGGCATTGTCAGTGATGATAGACTCTGGTATCCCAAATCTGCAAACGATGTTGTTTCGGAAAAAATCTGCCACTACCTTCTTTGTGACTTCCTTGTAAGTAGATGCCTCGACCCATTTGGTAAAATAGTCGATAGCTACCAAGATGAAACGATGTCCGTTTGATGCGGCGGGCTCTATAGGTCCAATCACGTCCATGGCCCAAGCGAAAAACGGCCAGGGTGAACCCATTACATTTAGCTCATTTGGCGGAACTCAGATGAAATCCCAATGAATATGGCACTGGTTACACTTCTGCACATAGCAGATACTGTCGCTTTCCATAGTCATCCAAAAGTATCAAGCTATCAAGATCTTCTTAGCTAATGTGAACTTGTTTATGTGGGGTTCGCATGTTCCTGCATGTATCTCCTCTAATAGTCTGGTTGCCTTAGCAGTGTTTACACATCTCAATAAACCTATATCTAGGGTCCTCCTGTACAGGATTTCCCCGTTGAGGAAAAAGTGGTTAGCCAGCCTCCTGAGGGCTCGATTTTGACCATTAGTAGCATTCTCCGGGTATTCTCTGGTTGCAAGGAATTTCTTGATATCGTAATACCATTGTTTACCATCTGGTTCTTCATCTATATGGAAATAATAGACATGTTGATCCCTGATCTCTACCTCGATAGGGTCGATGTAGTTCTTGTCTGGATGCTGAATCATAGATGATACAATTGTAGGGCGTCGACGAACTCGTTTTGAATCCCGGGAACATGCTTGAACTCAATCTTTGTGAACTTCTTGCATAGCTTCTTCACATAGTGTAGGAAAATAAGTATCTTGACATTCTTGGTGGACCATTCCCCTTGGTGTATCAACAGATCAGAATCCCTTATGACCAAAAGCTCTTTAACGTTCATGTCAACGGTCATTCTGATTCCAAGGATGCATGCTTCGTATTCAGCCATATTATTGGTACAAGGGAAACTTATCTTTGCCGATACTTTATAGTGCTGTCCAGATTCTAAAATCAGGACTGCCCCAATTCCAACTCTTTTGAAGTTTGCTGCTCTATCGAAAAACATTCTCCACCCAGGGTACGATTCTGCAATATCTTCTCCAGCAAATAATACTTCTTAATCAGGAAAATATGTAGTAAGCGGCTCGTAACCCCATCCACTAGATTTTATGTGAGGTGGTCGGCTAAAGCTTGTCCTTTGATAGCCTTTTAAGTTATGTATACAACGCCAAATTCGCTAAGGAGAATTTGCCATTTAGCTAGCTTTTCGATAAGCATTGGCTTCTGAAAAATGAAGTTGAGCGGGTCGAGCCGAGATATCATGTGTGTAGTGTATGTTGATATGTAATGCCTTGGTTTCTGGGCAACAAGTGCGTTCTATCAGAGTATACTTGGCCTCGCATGGCGTGAACTTCTTACTTAAGTAGTAGATGGCTTGCTCCTTTCTCCCAATTTCGCCATGTTGTCCCAACTCACAACTGAAGGCATTATCCAAGACTGACAAGTACAACAACAAAGGCTTCCAGGGTTTGGGGGGAACCAGTACTGGAGGATTTGACAGATACGCAGTGATTCTGTCGAAGCTTTTCTGACACTCTTTTGTCCATTTTGTGGCAGCATCCTTCTTAGGCAACTGGGCTATGAAACGACTGATGTAATTCCACCTACCCAGGAAACTCATGACATCTTTATTGTTCTTCGGTGGTGGTAATTCCTGAATGGCCTTGATTTTTGACGGGTCCAGCTCTATCCCCTTCCTGCTTACAATGAAGCCCAACAGCTTTCCGACGGGGACTCCGAACGTGTACTTTGTTAGGTTCAACTTCAAATTGTACCTTCGTAGGCATTCGAAAAACTTCCTCAAATTGTCCAAGTGCTCTGAACTCTTTCTAGACTTTATGATGACATCATCCACATACACTTCAATCTAGGTAGGTGGCGCCGGCGTTCTTGAGACCGAACGTCATGACTCTATAACAATAAACTCCCTAAGGTGTGGTGAAGGTCGTCTTCTCTGCATCTTCGTGCATTAAGATTTGGTGATACCCAGCGAAACAATCCACAAACAACTACAGTTCATGCTTCGTGCAATTGTCGATGAGGATGTGGATATTTTTTAAAAGGAAATCATCTTTTGGACTAGATTTGTTGGGGTCTAGGTAGTCCACACATATTTTGATCTTTCTATCTTTCTTGGGTACTGGGATGATATTTGCTAACCAGCTTGGATAGTTGTGACCCTGACTACATTCTCTTATATCTATTTGGTCACTTCTTCCTTTATCCTTAGACTTAAATGAGGTTTGAATTTTCTAGGTTTCTGCTGACGGTCTAGTAGGATCGGTGGGAAGTCGATGCATGACAATGTCAGTACTTAATCCTGCCATGTCATCATAGGACCATGCAAACGCATCGATGTACTGTCGGAGGAGCTCTACCAGTTTTTCTTTCTGCTCGGTTTCTAGGTGAATGTTGATTCTGGTGTTTTTACATCTTCTTCACTTCCAATATTGGCCACTTCCATTTCTTCGAGATTGGCCTTCTTCTGACTCTCGAACTGCTCGATCTCCTGCGGGAGATTACCGGTCATCGTGCTCTCATCATACTCCTCATAATCCGGGTCGTTGCACTCAATAGTTTCATTACATGTCATAATCGCGAAACGTGGGTTTTTAGTAGTTTGATTACTGAAAAGAAAAGCTAAGTATAAATAAAGGAGTAAATAAAGTTGCAATATTTGAGAAAAAGATTCTTTTTATTTCATCAAAAGAGGAATATTTTATGCGTTCAAAAGAGGAAATGGCAAAATGGTACAGACACGGTGCATGCCTCAATTGACCGTGCACTTTTCAAAAGAAAATGTTTTACAGTTCCATACTACTGGCACACCAAGATGGACTGGCGGTCCAATTCCGCAGCTCTTCCCCTGGTTCGGCATCCTTAAAAGTCGGTGTCTTGATGTCAGCCCCTTCACAGCATTCTTCAATCATATTCACGAATAACTTTCTCATACCGTTGATGATATCATCTTCGGGTACTGAACTCTGAATAGGACTACCAATATGCTCTGGCACAAAAAGCTTTTTTCTGGAGCTAACGGTATGAACGTTCCTTCCGGAGGCTGATATCCTATGCCAACCCTTCCTTTCTGCCCATTATGTTCAATTGGCTCTATGATTCCGTCCAACTTGGCTTCCAACCATGTTCCTAGCATGTATCCATATTTCATCATCTCCCTCATAGCCATCTTAGATCTATACGGTGACTGCATTCCCAAATTTTGTTCAGTCTCTTCCATCTCGGTAGTCTACCTAATTTTCACTACATGGAAAGCAACTCCGACTAGCCCTTCAATGAACGGAACAAGATACTCTAAATACGCGGAGTGAGCCCACTCACCATGAACCACGATCTCCTAACATCCCTACTCAAATTTCATGCATTCGTGCAAAGTGGATGACACAGCCCCTGCCATATGTATCCAGGGCCTTCCCAGCAGCAAGTTGTAGGAAGAGGAGATGTCCATTACTTGAAACAAATTCGGAAATTCTACCGGCCCGATCTGCAAGGCCAAATAAATTTCTCCAATAACATCCTTTTGCGAACTATCAAAGGCTCTCACCCTCACATGACTTTCCTTGACTTCCCTCAAATGAATCCCTAACTCCCATAGGGTGGAGAGCGGACAAATGTTAACTCTTAACCCTCCATCGACCAACACCGAGGACACTACTTTGTCCCCACATTTGATAGTGATATGAAGAGCCTTGTTCTGACTTGTGCCTTCGACAGGAAGTTCGTCTCTTCTGAAGGTGATCATGTTTGCTTCAACCATTTTCCCAATTGACGCGGCCAGCACCTCACTAGTGGTGTTACTTGGTATACTTACCCCACTTAGTACTTTCAATAGGGCATCCTTATGACTGTTGGAACTCCTTAAAAAATCCATGATTGATATATGTGCTGGAGTTTTCTTCAGCTGCTCCTCTACAGAATACTCTTTGCTTGACATTCTCTTCCAAAACTCGGCAGCTTCTGGGACTGTTATGTTCCTCCTTTGAATTTTTGCTCTTCCTGAGTTCCCTCGATTGACATCATTTAGGAGCATAGCATCTCCCTGACCTAGTCATACCATGGGCTGCGGCAGAGTCTGTCATTTTGGCCTTTCCCTTTTGCTGGTACGTCCATGAGACGGTTTTGTACTCTCGACCTTCCTCGTCTCTTATAGTAATGGCAGGTTGTCGCTGATAAGTTTGAATTGTCATTGTAGGTCTCACTTGTACTCTAATCATCGGAGTCCTTTGAGGAGGGATCCTGGCGGCTTCTGCATTTCCTATAGTGACAATTGTTCCCTTTAGGTCATATTCTTCATCCAATTTTATCATGTTAACTCCCTGGTTTTGGTGATTTGGTGGATTACAATTCACATTGGGCGGTGCTGGAGTGCATTGGATAGCTCCACTCTTGATCAGTATTTCAATCTCATTTTTCAGCTTAAAACAATCTTCAATATCGTGCCTAGGTACGTTGGAATGGAACACGCATCTTTTAGTGACATCAAAATACTTGGAGGGGTATTCAAGAACCCTTGCTTCGACTAGGTGTATCAATCATGCTCTTCTCTATCTCTCAAAAAATTAGACCAGAGGCTCATCAATCGGGGTATAATTTCTAGGACCCCTCTCTTCAAAGTTTGGACAAGGGCGTGGTGCATAAGTAGGTCAATTTTAGGGGAGTAGTGGGTTGGACAAGAGCATATGGTCGTTGTGGGTTTTGGTTTTTGTTGGCTCGAGAAGGGTTATATTGTGGTTGAGGGTAATAATATGGTTGGGTGTTATAGACTGGAGCGTAAGTGGGTGGTGGTGAATGGTTGTTTGAGGAATAAGAGGTGCTTCTGTATGAGTTAGGTTGGTAGTAAGGAACGACTGTTAAGACCTCCTCTTTCATCTTCTTTCTGCTACCGATTGACCCTTATTGGATGGCCTTGTTGGCCGTTTACAGTGCTGACATGGAGTGTACTTTACCAGATTTTATGCCCTTTTCTAAAAAATCTCCCATCTTAACCAGCTCGGGGAATTTCTGTCCCATCATTCAAATCATCTTTTCTAAGTATATCCCTTCTTGGGCTCTGATGAAATATTTGGTTAATTCACTTTCGCCCAGCGGAGGTTGTGCCCTGTAAGCCTCTGAACTCTACTGATGTGCATATTCCTGGAATGACATAGATGGTTTTTTCTGTAGGTTCACTAGTGTGAATTGATCGGGAGTGATTTCTGTATTGAATCGAAAATGATTCATGAAGTCATTTGCCATATCTTGCCAAGTTCTCCAATTTCACGAATCCTATCGAGTATACAAGAAGAGGGCTTCTCTTGTTAAACTTCTTATAAATAACTTCATCCTTAGCTTCTCATTCCTTCCAACTCTGACTAACTTGTCGCAATGTGCCCTCAAATGTGTGTGAGGATCACCCGTCCCATCGAAGATATCAAACTTTGGGGTTTATACCCTGCTAGCATATCCACATTCGGATGAATACATAGATCCTCATAGTACAGAATCTCACTTCCTCGGGCAACTTGGCGGCTCTTCATTTGCCTTCTCAAAATTTGCAACTGCTCAAATACTGACTCTTCTTCTTTACGCCTGGCTTTCCTCTCCATCTCGGCGTATTGATCAATCTCATAAGGCACCCTGACTGTGA